TGGGTGTTTCCCCCGGCTGGCTCCTTTCCCCACTCTAATTCGGTTTAGGTCTTTGACCTCGTGGCGAAGTGGTGTACTTGGCTGCTCAGCACATGTAAGGACAACCCACAAGTGTGGAAGTCGATGCTGGACCTAATGGATGCCCTCCTACCCACCGTCAACAGGCAGGCAGCGAGAGCCTATCTCTGGTGTCACCCCAGTGTCACCACAGGCCCTTCACTGAACGGGAATGCAACGTCTTCATACCTGCCTTGTTGGAGCGAATGGGCCACAAAATGGCAGCCTTTCGGAGCCACATCAAGAACTTGGTCACCATCCATTTCGTCAATACCGAGGCCCTGGTCCCGGCCAGAGGGATGGTCCCGATGTTGATCAACTGCATCCAGACCAGCAAGAACAAGAAGTCCGTCGCAGACTGCCTGGAGCTCCTCATTGGAGTCCTCACCCAGCACCAGGGTAGGCCCTATCCTCGTGTGCCACCATCGTACCTGGTTTGAAGGTACGGTGACCACTGGAAGGGCTGTGAAGGACGTTGGTAGAGTACTCATGTCTCTGTATAATGACAAGGACGCTGCTGTACGGGAGCTCGCGCAGACTGCTATCGGCCACTTCGTATGCCTCCTTGAGTCGTTGCTGTCGACTAGTCCTGGCCTCAGGTTAGAAGTACTGGTACTGAGGAGACCATACCTAGGCTGAGGGAGATCCTTATGGAGCCTGGTGGGTTCTGGTGTATGGGGCCTGGAAGAGGTGTCCGTGGTCATCTGTAGGCTTCCCGTTGAAGCAGGACCACAGGAACGCCCTTAATGGCAAGTTCGACAAGTGGCTCCTCGAGAGGGGAGGAGGAGGCGACTGTAGTGTTGACCTTGGAAGGGCGCCTTCGTGTCACCACTGGTCTAGGCTCTATAACGGAGGACACCAGTGCTGGTCCGTCACGAATCCAAGGTCCGAGTGGAGGGAGGCGGGTGGGAGGAGGCCCCTCTGGAATAGCCAGACCTGTTGCTGGTCACCGGAGGGCGCTCACTAGAGTTGGAGGAAGTACTGCTTCTAGAAGGAATAGTGTATACTTGGTGATCCCGTCTCAGCATGCCTGCAATCGGCGCCGGCCCTTCCGGCTCTCCCCTCTGAGGCTCCGGCCAGGCTGGTGACTCCTGGTATAGTGTCACCACCACCTCATGCAGCTCAGATGAAGACAACACCGAAGCAGCAGGGGATGGTGACGGCCAAGACTAGGGG